TTATGAAAAACTTCATTAACTGATGGACGACAACAGACGGCCAAGCATAGTGATAATCTGCTTGACATGATAATAAAGAATTAACTACAAGATCATCTCTACTCTGATGCAAGTGTCCAGCTCGTCTCAGTATTAGCCACTTGTGTGCCTAAACAACCAAAAAATAAGAGAAGTGAAGAAGGAACTATGAAGGGAACCAACTGGAGAGAGAGAGAGAGAGAGAGAGAGAGAGAGAGAGAGAGAGAGAGAGGCGCCTACCTGCCCTGCAACCTTATCCAGATAACCACTTTGCCAATTATCCTCTTAGGTTACTCGACCACTGCTCTCTCCCTTCCCTTACCCCTTCCCCCTCCCTTACCCCTTTTTCCCCTTCCCCTTTCCGCCCTACCCCCTTTACCGTACCTTATTCACCCTTAATTATTAGCAAAATTTGTAAATGTTATCTAAACGTTCTCAAATGTTATCTAAACGTTCTCAAATGTTATCCAAACGTTCTCAAATGTTATCTAAATGTTCCCATATGTTATCTAAACGTTCCCAAATGTTATCCAAACGTTCTCAAATGTTATCTAACCGTTCTCAAATGTTATCTAAACGTTCTCAAATGTTATCCAAACGTTCTCAAATGTTATCTAAATGTTCCCATATGTTATCTAAACGTTCCCAAATGTTATCCAAACGTTCTCAAATGTTATCTAAACGTTCTCAAATGTTATCCAAACGTTCTCAAATGTTATCTAAATGTTCCCATATGTTATCTAAACGTTCCCAAATGTTATCTAAACGTTCCCAAATATTATCTAAATGTTCCCAAATGTTATCCAAACGTTCTCAAATGTTATCTAAACGTTCTCAAATGTTATCTAAACGTTCTCAAATGTTATCTAAACGTTCTCAAATGTTATCCAAACGTTCTCAAATGTTATCTAAATGTTCCCATATGTTATCTAAACGTTCTCAAATGTTATCTAAACGTTCTCAAATGTTATCCAAACGTTCCCAAATGTTATCTAAACGTTCCCAAATGTTATCTAAACGTTCCCAAATATTATCTAAACGTTCTCATGTGTTATCTAAACGGTCTAGGAATGTGTTTATCTAGTTTTTCCTAAACATATGCTGCCCAAAACGTTCAGACACAAGAGCTAAGCTTAAAGTTGTATTAATAATGTTCCTATGTATTATAGTACGAGGTGTTTCCACTAAAGACTTCTATAAACACGAAACATTACACAGATGAAGATTTATAGGATCAATAGAATGTTTAATGTTTGATGAGGATCCTAGACGACCTCTTCAGGAACAAACTTTGAGTAATTCTACCTACCTCACCAGGAGTCAGGTTACCGGTGGCCTAAACTGCTCTCCTCTAAAGTACAGGTGGATCATAGATTAACGGATTGCTCTTCTCTAAACGATAAGTTGATTATAGGGTAAAAAACTACTCTTTTCGAAAGTACAAGTTGATTATTGGGTAAAAAACTACTCTGCTCTACAGTACAAGTCGATTATAGGGTAACAAACTACTTTTTTCTACAGTGCAAGTTGATTATAGGACAACAAACTATAACTGTAATATTGTGATAGAAACTGTGAGACGTAGTCCAGGAGCAATTCAAAACAGAAGTTCTCTCAACCCAAAACACTTTAAAGGTTTGTCTGTGTTATCTGTTTAGGGGTCATCTCTCTCAAGCATTTGTAGGGTGGCTGTCATGTTAGCATTCGGTTAGCATCTTCCTCGACGGACCAACGATTGTAACAGTGATTGGGTTATTATAGGTATCTGAAATTAGAGAAACGACTGTATCTTGATATTCTTAAAATTAGTTCCAATGGAAAAAGAAAAAGTTACTAAATCACTTGCTTGTCTTATGATACTAAGTAATAAATTTAAGACATAATTATGTGACTTTTCTGTTAATTTCCGTGTTCAGGTTACGGGTCATCTCTCAAGAAACTGACGGATCCAAGTCAACAGAAAGTGTTCAGTTGAGGTGGCTTTCACACGGGAAGATGCCGCGTATGAGACCTTGCAGAACTAATATAGGGCACTGACCAAAGTGCCCAATGATTCAAGGCTTCTACACTGAGAATAGCAAAGATATTACAGTGGTGAAGACAGTACAAGGAATGATAACAATTCTCAGGCAGAAAGAGACTGTACTTGTATTCGACATTGTCATCTACAGTATGTTAGGGCGAGGGAGATCCAGTGGAGAGCACAGACGGGTTTTCAGACGCCATCATTTGATTGGAAGGATTTAATGTTACCCAGGAACTTTTTTTTCTGGTCAAAACATTTCCTGGTAGAATTTGGACCCATGGCAGCACCACAGCCACTGCCATCCTTCGTATCAAATCCTATAATTGTGGAGTGAGACCCACAAACTGACCATTGAGGCGATGTTTCATTTATGTTGGAACTGTTTCATCAAGTGGCTGGGTCTCGTTAACATCCAAGACAGAACACTTCAGACTGTTCTATGGACAGGGCAAACTATATACGGTGGCTGCCAGTGCCTCTGGCAGATGTGACTCAGCTGGTAGAGGCAACCGAAAATACATTCGGAGTTCATGAGTAGCAACCATGCCATCAGCAGATCAAGTCAGTCCAAGGCCGGACGGACATGGCTTTGGAACAATCAGTTAACTGAGTTTGAGAAACAAAAGGTAATATTGTTGAAATAATACAGAAACCAGGAGCTCTTCAACTCTGATTTCTAACAATTCATGGTTAATGTTACCGCCACGCACAACTGTGTGCACCAGCAACATATGTAAGTGGAGATACAGGCAGAATAGAAAAAGTAAGAGGGAGAGAGGAAGAAGTGAAGATGAGAGGGGGTCAGAGAAAGAGGTAGAGAGGTGGAACGAGGAGACTGTTTACAACTAAGATAGCCGAGTAAGAGACCGTAATGAAAAACATGTTGTCCAAACGGGACCACAGCTGCCCAAGAGACACAGCCTGAGGGCAGACTATCGCCTTCTCCTGTGGAGGCAACATCTTGATTCTCGCCAGCCAACATTTCTCCTTTAGGATATCGTCTTTGTTCTCGTTGGTCTACCCCTAGACCCATAACACGTGAGTGTGATTGTGAACTGTTGAATCCTCTGAGAACTGTAAACGACTTGAATAATTGTAGTTATGTACTATACATTGATTATAGTGTTCAACCCGTGTGTCTTGATGTATGAACAGTTGTTACATGTGATATGTATTCAGCAGGTTTTGACCGTAATATATTCTTCGCGTCATATTGTCCTGCACAGCCACAATCGCTTCGACGAGCGGTTACAGTCAAAACGTGGGGTCAACAGACCACAGCAGGCGACGAGAGCACAGCACTGACGGGGCAGCGAGGGATCAGCATACCACGGCAGCAGCTGGAGTGAGGAGCACCGCTCTCTTTGACGCCGGGCAGGAAGTGTGCGTTCAGGCGAGGGTGGGTGGAGCAGTTGCGTGTGACCACCGCCCTCTCTAATGCCATGCGAGAAGTACGTGTGTGCGTTCAGGCGAGGATACGTAGAAGCCTAAGGCATCGAGGGTGAAGTAAATGAACTAACTATAACGGGTGACACATTATAATGTAATTAAGAACGAGTGAGTTGCCCTTTCTGTTATAAAACAGATTTGTGACAGTTTAGTAACGCCTTGTAAGTAAGGGCGCGGTAGTGTTTTTGACATCACCTCCACCTGTGTGAATTCAATGATTGTGGGGTCTCTGTTGTCATGTTAGTGTGACTTCGCTCATGCGTGTGGCATGCGTTTGTGTGACATCACTCGTGCGCATGGCACGCGTCAGTGTGACATCGCTTCCCCCTTTGTGATCTCTGTTGTCGTGTTAGTGCGACATCCCTCATGCATATGGCACGTGTTTGAGTGATATCACGCATGCGTATGGCACGCATCAGTGTGACATCACCTCCACCTCTGTGAGTTCAATGAATGTGGGGCGTCACCATAAATAGTAGCTGGTACCAAGCGTTACTGCGTACATTCATCGAGCAAGACAGATCGCGCTTGCTGTTCTGGCATTCATGGACATAGAAGGGAATAAGTCAGACGTGAGGAGCGTGACCGGCGTGGAACAAGGAGACACTGTTGACGTAGAAACTGACGTCTCACCAACGCCGCCAAGCCAGCGTGAGATAAACTTGTCTCCCGAGAAGAGAAGGGAACCACCAGACGAGGGAATTGAAGGGCAATTATGTGAGCAACACCATCAGATGCAGCAGATGTTCGCTCACGTGACAGCGATGATGTAGAACGTCACCGAAGGTATGGACCGACTACGAAGTAAGGGCAGCACAGAAGACCGCGGAAAAGTGTTTTCGCTACCAGACACAACCTTCCTCCGTAACTGACGAAGAAACGCTATATACTCGAGGAGGACTCCCAATGCTCACCTTAACCTCGGAGCCCGGAACATCTCACCAGGGGGAGCGGGAAAGTACTTTCGAGTGTCAAGTTTGTTCGCCGAAACCACTAACGTCGATGAAGGACTAAGACGATGATCTGCCAAAGTCCGAGGGTTGGGTGAGAGAATTGTTAGATAATATGAGGCTCTCCCAAAGGCCGACGCCAAAGTTCAGCGAAGGAACGTGTTGTGAATACTGGGAGTTCAAGCGAGCGTTGCAGCGACACGTTGAGTTGGCGCAGATACCCAATGCTTTGAAATTAGAGACACTCCTCGTCGTCTACGCCGGCCCCGCTAAGGACGCTTTGCGGGGATGCCTGCAAATGCAAGATTCACTTGCAGCAGGGGACCTCCCAAGCGCATTCGGTCTCACAGGGGAACCAACATGATTAGAGCTAGCCGAGAGTTACGAGTGGCGCGGTGAGCGCCTGAAACAACAGTGACAAGGTCGGGAATGCCCTCCTACAGAAACAAATAGAATGGCAGTTCAATCCACCGACAGCCTCTCACATGGGCGGGGTGTGGGAGCGACAAATCTGCACGGTAAGGAAGGTCCTCCAGGGAGTGGTGGGCACCCAGACACTAGACGATGAACGACTCCAGACTCTGTTCAACTCCGTAGAAGAGATCATCAATGGAAGGCATATCACCCAGTGTCTGACGATCCAAGGGATCTAGAAACATTAACGCCATTTCACATACTACGGATGAACCCAGAGACACTGCCCATCGGAGGCGATCGGTTCATGGCAAAAGCGTATCGGCGGAGATGGAAGCATGCCCAATCCATTGTGGACCAGTTTTAAAGAGGTGGGTGAAGGAATATCTCCCGGATACTAAGTCAGTGACACAAATTCGTCGAAACTCGCAGCAATCTCCGCGCTGAGGATATCGTAATCATCTCTGGACACACTCTCTCCAGGAGTCAGTGGATGCTAGGGAGAGTACTGGAGGCAATACCGAGCGAAGATGGCCTGGTGTGAAGTGTCAAAGTGAAGGCCTTTTAAAAACTAACAAAGCATAGGAGCGTGGGAGTCGTGGAAACTGCAGTCGGTACTGGAATATATAACCAACGGGTATCAAGATTTTGTATCAGAAATAACAATTGTCTTTGGTTGCGTTGGGCCTCCCGCACAACCCATCCCAAATGTTTGTTTTCGGTAGAGATAAGGCAACCGGCCAGCCTTAACTGGGACATATGTTTCCCATTAGTGGTATGTTAGCCAGCCGATAGGGGGGGCAGGTCAGTGAGACAGTGGTGTACTGTTCATCACTTCAAGCCTCAAAAAAAAAAACACATTTTAGCCAGTGGGCTTTAGACCTTGGGTTAGAGAAGACCTCCTGCTCCGCGGACTTAAGAACAGGGGCCATACATTCGTACCAGTGCTACGAGTCTGTGAGTGCAAATCCCCGAGATTTTTGTGAAGTCCAGCGACAAGTTAACGCATCCTGTAAAGGAAGTGATCAATGGTGAGGACCTGTTTGCTACAAGAGCACTCCAGGCCGGCCCAATAGATCTAACGATTAATTCTCCAGGTTGACAAACTTTCCCTTATAACTTACGGTACTGTGGCGTGAATGTGAGTGACTGACCTATCCATACAAATTATAAGTCCAGTGTATGGAATTGTGCCAAATAAACGTAAGTGCAATCATCTGCCCGTATCTGTGATCCCTCTATTATTATTATTACCAAGGGTAATGACTGATTGTTTATGACAAAGTATAACCAATAAATGAGATGGATGTTGGAAATTAATGGAAGTCATTAAATCATCATTTATCAAGTACACAACGCATTGAATGCCGGAACCAGAGTGAAATTCTACGTAGTGATACATCATAATCTCTTGGGTGAGTAACCAGTGTAAAGGTACACGGTAAGAAAGCCACTTTCCTGCATTTAAACGTAACAACAATAAAGTGTAGTTAGGAAAGGAGTGAAACCTGAAACTCGGCAGAGGGAAGACTCAGATAAATACCTTATTTATTTTGTTTACTTAATGGCCACCTACTAGAGGTGGCTATGCCGAGGGAAGGAGGACAATGGCCTGTATAGGAGCCCTCCATTTTTCTTGATAATAATTGAAGGGTTGTTTTGATATCCAGTGCTGTTCGTGACTCTACAGCTTTGGCAGGTATACCAATGGATAGGTCTGCCACCCTATATGTGAAGAAGTATTTCCTTATATTCGTTTTGCATGATAACTTGGTGAGCTTGTAGTTATGTCCCGCGTGACATCAAAAAGAAAGGTCCCGGGTTCACGTTTTCCACCACTTTCAAGATTTTGAATGTTTTAATGAGATCTGCCCTATTGTGCCAAGTCTGAACGGTTGGAAGTCCTAAGATTCTCAGTGTACTTGGATAATCGAGATGACATAGTTCCAGAATAATCTTCGTCGTTCGGTGTTGCACATTTTCTGGGGATGTACTGCCGTGAACCGTGTGCTGTGGGAGTACTGCCGTGAACCGTGTGCTGTGGGAGTACTGCCGTGAACCGTGTACTGTAGGAATCCTGCCGTGAGCCGTGTGCTGTAGGAGTACTGCCGTGAACCGTGTACTGTAGGAACCCTGCCGTGAGCCGTGGCCATGGGAGTACCGTGAACCGTGTGCTGTAGGAATTCCTGCCGTGAGCCGTGGGTGAGTACTGCCGTGAACCGTGTGTGGGAGTACTGCCGTGAACCGCATGCAGGGAGTGCTGCCGTGAACTGCTGCTGAGTACTGCCGTGAACCGTGGCTGTGGGAGTACTGCCGAACCGTGTGTGGGAGTACTGCCGTGAACCGTGCTGGGGAGTACTGCCGTGAACCGTGTACTGTAGGAATCCTGCCGTGAGCCGTGTGCTGAGGAGTACTGCCGAAACCGTACTGTAGAATCTCCGCCGTGAGTCAAAGGAGTACGCCGTGAACCGTGTTGTAGGAACCTGCCGTGAGCCGTGCTGTAGAGTACTGCCGTGAACCGTGTGCTGTGGGAGTACTGCCGTGAACCGTAGCGGCGGGAGCGTGCCGTGAACGTGTGTTGTAGGAGTACTGGCGAACCGTGTGCTGTGGGAGTACTGCCGTGAACCGTGTGCGTAGGAGTACTGCCGTGAACCGGCGTTGTAGGAATCCTGCCGTGAGCCGTGTGCTGTAGGAGTACTGCCGAGCTGTGTGCTGTGAGTGTTGCCGTGAGTCGTGTGCTGCGGGAATCCCGCCACGAACCGTGTGCTGTGGGAGCCCGTGAGCCGTGTGCGGTGGAGTACTGCCGAACCGTGTAGCTGGGGAGTACTGCCGTGCGTCGTGCTGTGAATCCCGCCGGACCGTGTGCTGGGAGTACCGCTTTGAACCGTGTGCTGGGGAGTACTGCCGTGAACCGTGTGTTGTGGAGCACTGCCGCGTCGTGCTGGGGAATCCCGCGAACCCGTGCTGTGGAGTACTGCCTGAACCGTGTGTCAGGAACTGCCGTGAACCGTGTGCGTGGAGCACTGCCGTGCGTCGTGTGCTGGGGAATCCTGCCGTGAACCGTGTGCTGTGGGAAATGCCCTGGAACCGTGTGCTGTGGAGCACCTGCCGTGAGCTGTGTGCGGGGAATACTGCCGTGAACCGTGTGCGTGGGAGTACTGCGGTGAGCCGTAAGTTGTGGAGCACTGCCGTGAGCCGTGTGGGGAGTACTGCCGTGAACCGTGCTTGGGGAGTGCTGCCGTGAGCCGTGCGTCGTGGGAGTACTGCCGTGCGTCGTGTGAGCGAACCCTGCCCTGAACTGTGTCAGAGTACCGCCATGAACAGTGTGCTGTGGGAGTAATGCCTTGAACCGTGTTGTGGATTCAGCGAGCAGTGTGCGGAATACTGCCGTGAACCGTGTGTTGCGGGAGTACTGCCGTGAGCCGTGTGCTGTGGAGAACTGCCTTGAACCAAAAAGGAGCACCGCCGTGAGCCGTGTGTGCTGGGGAGTACCGCCGCGAACCGTGCGTCGAGTACTGCCGCGTGTCGTGGGGAATCCTGCCCCTGAACCGTGTGCTGTGGGATAACGCGAACCATGTGTTGTGAATACTGCCTTGAACCGTGTGCTGGGGAGTCTCCGTGAGCCGTGTGTAAGCGAATACTGCTGAATCGTGTGCTGTGGGAGTACCCCGTGAGCCGTGTGAAATGTGAGTAACGCCTGAACCGTGTGCTGTGGAGCACTGCCGAGCCGCGGTGCTGAGGAGTACTGCCGTGAACCGCGTCGAGCACTGCCGTGTCGTGTGTGCTGTGGGAATCCGCCCTGAACCGTGTGCTGTGAGTACCGCCACGAACTGCGTGCTGGGGAGTACTGCCTTGAACCGTGGTTGGGAGTACTGCCGTGACGTGTTAGGAGATACTGCCGTGAGCCGTGTGCTGGGGAGTACTGCCTTGAACCGGTGTGGGAGAATGCCGTGAGCCGTGTGTGCTGGGGGAGTACTGTCGTGAACCGTGCGTCGGGAGTACTGTCGCGTCGTGTGCTGTGGGAATCCTGCCCTGAACCGTGTGCTGTGGGAGTACTGCCACGAACCGTAAAGGGGAGTACTGCCTTGAACCGTGTGCCAGGGAGTACTGCGGTGAGCCGTGTGTTAGGAGTACTGCCGTGAGCCGTGTAGGGAGTACTGCCGTGAACCGTGTGCTGTGGGAGTGCTGCCGTGAGCGTGTTGTGAGTACTGCCATGAACCGTGTGTAAGGAGTACTGCCATGAACCATGTGCTGTGGGAGTACTGCCATGAACTGTGCTGTGGGAGTACTGCCATGAACCGTGTGCTGTGGGAGTACTGCTGAACCTGTGTTGCCAGGAGACTGCCGTGAGCCGTGTGTGTTAGGAGTACTGCCGAGCCGTGTGAGTTGGGAGCACTGCCGTGAACCGTGTGCTGTGGGAGTGCTGCCGTGAGCCGTGTGTTAGGAGTACTGCCATGAACCGTGTGCTGGAGAACTGCCATGAACTGTGCTGTGGGAGTACTGCCTTGAACTGTGTGCTGGGAGTACTGCCTGAACCGTGTGCTGTGGGAGTACTGCCATGAACCGTGTGTGTGCTGTGGGAGTACTGCTCTGAACTGTAAAAGGGAGTACTGTCTGAACTGTGTATGGGGAGTATTGCCTTGAACTGTGTGCTGTGAGTACTGCATGAACTGTAAAGGGGAGTACTGCCTGAACTGTGTAAAGGGGAGTACTGCATGAATGTAAAAGGGGAGCATGTCTTGAAGGGAGACTGATAAAAGGGGAGTAATGCCCTGAACAAAGGGGAGGCTGAACAAAGGGGAGTACTGCTATGAACTGTATGTGAGACTGTCTGAACTGTGGGGAGACACATGAAATGTGTGTTAGACAGAGCTGTAAAGGGAGTACTGCCGTGAGCCGTGTGTTGGGGAGTACTGCTGTGAGCCAGGAGTACTGCCTGAGCGTGTGCTGTGAGTACTGCCGTGAAGTTGTGAGCACTGCTGTGAGCGTGTGCTGGGGAGAAATGTGAGTCATATCAGTGTTGTGTGTTTTAGTTATTAAATAGTTAAGTCCACTTATACGTTGTTAATACCAACCCTATTATTCTATTGGAAATATCATAACAAACAACAACAACAATAACAAAAAAAACTTAAACAATAACAGCAAAGGTAAAGAAAAAAAACAACAACAGTAAAAAATAACAACCAAAGTAACGGTAATAATAACAGTAAATAATGTTAACCACAGTAAGATAAAGAAGAGAGAAAGAGAGGATAAAACCATAATAAGATAAACTAGTATAGAGAGAGAGAGAGAGAGAGAGAGAGAGAGAGAGAGGGGGGATGAGATGAGATAAGAGATATAGTGCTGGACAAACGAATTTGCTGACCAATATGCGAGGTGTCAACACGGAAAACATATGCCTCTGCCAGAGATTGCCCTCGAGGGTAGCCATTGATTACAGACAGACACACACGTTGGTTCAGATCACCAGACCCAAAAACGTGAGTGACGTAGTAAATCTGCTAAGAAACTCTAAATACTTAATAAGTAATATTTGTGTACTGCACTGACTATATTACTACCTGTTCCTGTATCAATAAGTTATATGCGAGTATATTTAAGATGTTAACAGGCTATGTACTGTATGCTGATTGTATTTCATAATATTGGTCCTGAGATAACAGCATTTGTTATATGAGAAATGTTTTAACAGGTTTTGACCGAATATATGGTACGCGTAACGTTGAGGTATATTTCAGCAACAAAATAACAATCCTATGAGCGTTAACAAATAACAACAGTAAGAAACAGACAAATATTAGTAACAACAACAAATATAAAAATACTTAGTAACAATAACAACAACAACAGCAGCAATAACAACAGTAACAAGAAAAAAAGCAAAAAACAGTAAATAATAACAACAACAGTAATGGTAACAACAATATAAAATACAAAATAAAAGTAAATAATAACCAACAACATAATAACAAAAAATAACAGTAACAGCAATAATAACAACTACAGTAAATAATAAATAAATATAATAGTAACTACAAATGTAACAAATACCAGCAACGGTAACAACAAACAGTAAACACTAATCTATCAACAACAGTAATAACAAGGCAGCAGCAACAACAACAAAGACCAAACAGGAAATGAATGGGCATCAATGGCATAGCAACAGAACCAGATGGGGAGGAGGAGGAGGAGGAGGAGGGTGAGGAACAGACACGAAGAGGCGGAGGGGAGAGGAGGGACGGACAGGATGTTGCAAAACTCTAGAAACAGTACAGTAAGCACAGACAACATGAAGGAGGTGAGGACGGTGTTGAAGGGAGGGAGGGAATGCAGGAGATGAAATGAAGGAGAGGTGTGAAGAGTGAAGGAAGGTCAAACATGATGGGGGAGGGTGAAGGGGTGAGTTAGCAGAGATAGACCAGGTTGGGGAGGTAAATGCTGATTATTAGACTGTGTTTAGTAAGTAGTGAATGACAAATTAGTTGGTTTGTCAGTACACCGATAACACCATACTCTGTCCATAGTTTGCATTTACTAGAGAGGAGAGAGACAGACAGACAGACAGACAGACAGACAGACAGAAACAGAGTAGCAATGCAAACCAGCTACAACATTCTTAACACGAAGTCAACACACAATGACATCAATTTCCATCACAGAAGATAAATACCAGATCCTTCACATCATCAGTTCAGAGGACACAAAAAAAAATGAAGTACAAGGAAGGAAATCGAACTCTGGTTTGGCTAATTATACCTACCTGGGATTAGCTTGCAAAAATAAGTCAAAAGGAATATAGCTGTTAGGAGGGAAATCTGAGACCCTGTAAATCTAGATGAGGTAAGCGGATGACTGGAGGCACTGATGAGGCATGGGGACTATAGGTTAGAGAACTCAGGCCAATAGTAACGTAAGAGGAAGGCTGAGAATAAATAACAAGGAAAAAAGTAGGTTCAGGGCCATAGTAAAGGCAAGGGAAAGGTTCAGGTCCATTAGTAAGGTAAGAGGAAGGGTTCAGGGCCATGAATAAGATAAGAGGAAGGAGAGAACTTTGATTGGATAATGGACGAAGGTCTGGCCAAAAACAGAAGATACAAGGGATACAAAGGCCATTGCTAAGATAAGAAAAAGGTGAATAGTGATAACCAAGAAGGACAATCAGGGACGTTAGTAGGGAAGGTCCCTGGTCACTGACAGGACAACAAGACAGAGACAAACCATTATAGGGTAAAGGTGAGAGGGGGAAGAAACCACTACTAAGGTGAGGGAATAGCCTGTTGAGATGAGGGACAGGGTGAGCCACAGCAGGTGAGGGAGGGAGGTGTGGGCACTGTTGAGGTGAGGGAGGGGTGTAGGGCCACTGTTGAGGGAGGGAGGTGTAGGCCACTGTGGAGGTGAGGGAGGGTGAAGCCACTGTTGAGTGAAGGGAGGGGTGAAGGGCCACTGTTGAGGTGAGGGAGGGTGAAATACTGTTGGAGGTGGGAGGGAGGAAAGCCTGTTGAGGTGAAGGGGTGAAGGGCCACTGTTGAGGTGAGGACAAGGTGTAAAGGAGGTGAGGGAGGGGTGTAGCTACCAAGGAGGTGAGGGGAGGGGTGTAGCTACTAAGAGGTGAGGGACAAGGTGTAAAATAAGGGAGGTGAGGGGTGTAGGCCTAAGAGGTGAGGACAAGGTGAAATACAAGGAGGTAAGGGTGAAGGAGGTGAGGACAGGTTTAAAGCCACTAGGGAGGTAGGGGACAGGTGAAATACTAAGGAGGGGAGGAGTGTAGGCCACTGTGAAGTGGGAGGGGAGGGGTGTAGGGCCACTGTTGAGGTGAGGAGGTGTAGGGACACTGCTGAGGTGAGGGCACTGTGAGAGGACATACCAAGGAGGTGAGGGACAGGTTTAGGCCACTGTTGAGGTGAGGGGAGGGGTGTAGGCTACTGTTGGAGGTGAGGAGGTGAAATACCAGGTGAGGGAGGTTAGGCTACTAAGGAGGTGAGGGGAGGGGTGTAGGGCTACTGTTGAGGTGAGGGGACAGGTTTAGGCTACTAGAGGTGAGGGAGGTAGGGCTACTGTTGAGGTGAGGGAGGGTAGGGCCAAGGAGGTGAGGAGAGGTTAGGCTACTGTTGAGGTGGGAGGAGGTGAAGGACTGTGGGAGGAGGGAAAGCTGAGGTGAGGACAGGTGTAGGTCAAGCTGAGGTGAGGAGGTAAGGCTGAGGTGAGGAGGGGTGTAGGGCCACTGTTGAGGTGAGGGAGGGGCCAAGGAGGTGAGGGGACAGTGTGAAGCTGAGGTGAGGGGAGTGTGTAGGCCAAGGAGGGGAGGGGAGGTGTAGGGCTACTAAGGAGGTGAGGGAGGAGGGCTACCAAGGAGGGGAGGGGCCAAGGAGGGGAGGGGAGGTGAAGGCCAAGGAGGGAGGAGGGGAAAGGGAGGTGAGGGGAGGGGAAGCTACAAGGAGGTGAGGACAGGCTGAAATACTGTTGAGGTGGGGAGGGGAGGTGAAAACCAAGGAGGTGAGGGGACAGGTTGAAATACTGTTGAGGTGAGGGGAGGTGAAAGTACTGCT